GGGTCATGAAGGAGAAGTCGTCCTCATTCAGAATTCCGTAAGTAGTAATAGAATAATTAATTGTTAACAAAAGTCTGTCCGCATGAATCATTGGGTGTGTGCATAGTCGGAACGGCTTATACGAATGTATGCAGTAAGATAACCTTGAATGCGAAAAGAGCTGTACACACGCGCAAGTTCAACTTATTGCAATGTTGCCAGACATCAAAGGCATAAAACAATTTTATTGTAAATTACATATATTGATTTTTCCTTTTTGTAGAAGAGAAATTTTTTTATATATTTCTGAATTGAATTAATAATTCTAAATTGTATGTAAGAATATATATATATATAATAGTAATAGAAAAAAAGCATGTGACACAATGTTTCCTTGTTGCGTGCTATGAGAAACGTGGAATGGTACGAATAAGGCTATAGTCTGGCAACACTGCGCGTTCCAGTGTACCGAGCATGTATTATGTTAGACTTTTTTTGCAAAATCTTTATTTTGGCTCGATCCTGGGTCCTGTCCTTGAGGATAATCGATTGCGCTACATATTGAGATAGTCTTTCATTGCCAATATAATCCAAACGATTCTTGCGAAATGGCTCCACGAATATATGCTATTCATGTAGATGAATGATTCACTGAACATTACGTCAATCTTAAACAATTTTAATTATATCATTGTTCCATTGTCTTGATAAATCCGAGAACGATGTGCCGGTTATGCTTTTTCACCGATGTGATAATTGAACGCAATCACTGTCAAGATATTATTATTATATTAACACGTTTAATATATGGTGATTGCGAATAACAAGTATATTTGTTGAAAGTTATATTCATTTAATTAAAGATTCCCTTATTGATGTCATACTGAATTATAACGTCAAAAGAGAAGAAGAAATCATATAATTTTTTCTCGCGAAGTACATCAAAATAATTAATAAGTTCTTTTAAATGTTAACCATTTATGTTCGATAATATACGTTAGTATAAAATACGTTTTTAAAAAAACTTTCTGTTAAAAAAGCGTATTTTACTAACGTATATTACACAGTAAAAAAAAAAAAAAAAAAAAAGGGAATGGGATTAGCCGTTTTTTATAAGTTTTTGGACGTTGAACACGAATCCGGTTTTGAAATTGCTCCATCACGTCAGAATTTTGAGAAATTTGCAATTAAAGTTGCAAAAAAGGGCTATTTTCGCGAACTTTGTCATTTTATAACTGCAATATGTGACGTGCTGGAGAAGTTTTATTGCAATCAAAATAAAGTATGTTATTAGGACTTTCAAGCCCCAAAAGGAATTTTTGGTGTCGGTTATGATTAATAAGATATCCATGATTAAATATGAGGTGTATTGCAGAAGTTAGCTGTGACTTAGGTCATTGACGATTTACCAAATAGCTTTCAATTATATTTATTTAAACTTAAGAGTTTTTTAGATCGTTGAATACGAATCCAATGTCAAAATTGTCAAATTCAAAATGGTGGACTCAATATGGCGGATGTCAAAACTTAAAAAATATTTAGTCAATTTTCTTACGCTTACGTCTTACATCCTTACGGAATTTTGTGTGTGATGGCCTTTATGCTTATGGTTATGCGCTTATGTAAAAGTCTGTGCTCGGGCTCTACGAGCCGGAGCAGTGGAGCACAGACTTTTGCATAAGTGCATAACCATAAGCATAAGGAAATTGATTGGTCCATAAGCATATGCATAAGGAAATGGACCAATCAATTTTCTTATGCTTATGATTATGTGCTTATGCAAAAGTTTGTGTTTTGGCCTTTAAGTTTAAATAATAATTGAAAGCTATTTGATAAATCGTCAATGACCTAAGTCACCAGCTAACTTCTGCAATACATATATTTAACCATGGATATCTTATAAATCATAATCGACACCAAAAGTTTCTTTTGAGAATTTAAAATCCTAACAACATACTTTATTTTGATTGTAACAAAACTTCTCCAGCATGTCATATTATAGCTATAATATGACAAAGTTCGTGAAAATAGCCTTTTTTGCAACTTTAATTACAAATTTCTCAAAATTCTGACGTGATGGAGCAATTTCAAAACCGGATTCGTGTTCAGCATCCAAAAATCTATAAGAAACGACTAGTCCCGTTCCGATGTTCGAAAAAAGTCATTTTTTGTTTTCGGTGTTATCGAACATGAATGGTTAACATTTAAAAGAACTTATTAATTATTTTGATGTACTTCGCAAGAAAAAATCATATGATTTTTTCTCTTCTCTTCTTCTCTTCTGACATCATAATTCAGTATGACATTGATGTCATTCATCAAATTATTCATTTAATTAAAGATTCCCTTATTGATAAGGGAGTCTTTAATTAAATGAATAAAACTTCCAACAAATAAGCATTAATAAAAGCATTATTAAATGCATGTATAACGGATCTGCAAGTATCCTTTTCAATGAAAATGGACTATGATGACAACCAAGATTTACAGCTATTTATTTATTCACGAATCAAAAAGAGAGGTTTCAGCGTACATATTTTATTTTATTTTATTATCGAACATGACATTAAAAAAAATCTTATTTATTTTAATATATTTTAATAACACAAGAAAAACTCATGATTTCTCACTTCTGACGTCATAATTTAATATGGCTACAGTGAGGACACAGGATCTTTAACATTGGATATATTGTACAATTTATTTTGTTCATGTTTTGCTATTTCTCGAAATCTACATAGCAATAAATGTATTAAAGATTGTTAAACTTGTGGAATTTGCGAAGCTAGAAAAATTTGTTGTACTCTTCAAAAATTTGGAAGTCACAGGAAAAATAAAAACAATAATAATTCCAAACAAGCATAGAAATGATATCCTCAATAATGCAATTCACAAAACTATATTGTGCCATAAAGAGAAATATGAAATATATATGTGTACTTGCAAACATCTATATAATTGTAAATTGTAAAATCAATAATATATGCGTTATAATCTAAACTTATAACATTTTTATATCAGATAATCGACAATGGTTAATGACACGTTAGCGTTCTCTAATTTGCCACGAGACTCTCCCCTTTTCCTATTAAATAATCACAAAAAATTATCCATTATTGTAAATCTTTAATATATTACAAAATTATGACAGGACTTTTAAGTTTTTATTTTTTTTTTTTTTTTTATACATTTTTAAAACTTTCGAGAATTTATAACGGGAATACTTCAAGTTAATTAATATTGCACCGAAAAATCAAACGTTCTATTCGTTATACGTTATACATATAACCCAAATTGTATCGTCCTTTCATATTGTACAGAACGGAAACTTTAATGCTTCATAACTTTTGAACGGATCGTGACCGCCACTTTTTTCAAGGTCAGGGTCGCTCAGAACGATGACCTTAACAACATATATCAAGGTCAAGGTCATACATGAGGTCACCCTCTTTCTGTATAATTACCCATCGCTTCGCATCCAAAGCATCCAGCGAAATTGAAAAAATAGTTTCTCTTTCCTATATATTAGGTTTAATTGAAGTTTTACTTCTAGGTAAAAACTTTTGAAAAAATGATTTGCTGTGACTGAAATGTTGTATACTATATTATTTTGGTATCTACTTTAAGTACGCAAAAGGCTGCCGTTAACTTGAAGTGTCAAAACAATATCCAGAATATTATAATAAAATAATTTGTGTAATAAATGGAAAATATAGTAAAATAGAATATTAATAATATTTAACAAACTGAATAAAATTTAGTATAAGTGCTGTAATAAAATTTCAAAAGTAATTTTGCAGTAATTAACAGTTGTATCACAGTAATTACTTTTTACTATAAGTGTGTGTTTTGGGTTGATTGCTGTGATATAAATAAATTCAAATATAGAAATAAGACAACTATATAGAAATAAATCAATTTCTAATACTATAAGAATACTATAAGAAGAATTGAAAAAGATATATATAAAAGAAAAAAATTTAAGAATATCAATAAAATAAGACTTAAATAAAAAATAAAAAAACAGCAAGATGCTTGCGAATTCTAATGAAATATTCACCATATATTTTGATGAAATTGCATAATTGAGTTTTTTTACTATTAATTAATAACTCGAAAAAAGATAACAGAAAATAAAGTTTAAAAAAATGTGTTTCAGATTATGAGAAAAAAATTATATAAGCTGAAGATAAAAATATTTATATTGTTTTTTTTATTTGTGTGTATATTACTGATATCATTCTGACTTAAAATCAAATTGTTATAGATATCGTACTACTTGAAGTGGATTATATCTTATCTGTATTACTGTAATAGTTATCGTATTTTTTCTCCTTTCTCTTTTTACTTCATTTATACATATCTAACATTAAGAATGTTAACATATCTAATATAATGTATATTCTTTCAATAATTTATATAATTTTCGTGTTTTAATTAATATATATCTGATGAAAAAAAAAAAATAGACATAATCGTTATTTTCTCATTTTTTGTAGGATGATTTGAAGAGTAAACTTAAAGAAGCAGGTAATAGTTTGGTAGTTATTGACTTTTTTGCCGTATGGTGTGGACCATGCAAGATGATTGGGCCACTAATTGAAGAACTGTCAAAGGTTTTATCACATTTAATTTTTATTCAATAAAGTTTTCTAACATTTTTTAAATTAATGTAAATATTTTTTTATACAGGAAATGCAGGATGTTATTTTTCTTAAAGTTGATGTGGATGAATGTGAAGATATTGCTGCTGAATATGAAATAAGCAGTATGCCTACGTTTATTTTTATAAAAGAAGGCAATGTGGTATGTATTACATTCAAAATGATTCAAACATTTAAACTTCTTATACATTAATATTGAAGAGAGAACAAACAGTTGTCAATAATCAAATAAAATATCTGCTTTCTTTTCAGTTGGAGACCTTTTCTGGTGCAAATTATGATAAATTGAAAAATATGGTTCAAAAACACAAGTGAATAATATACTATGATTGTTTAAATATATATATTTTTTTTTAAACAAAAATAATATATGAATAATAAATTCGCAAATATATCTGAATTATAGCACTATTTTAGACATAATATTGAACAGCTATTTATGTATATGACAAGTGCGTATATACAAAAAGCGCGGATTTTGCATTGTGCACATCGAGAAAAATAGAAAAAGCTGATTTTTTTCATAAAATAGAAACATTTTATTATATCTATCAATTTCGTTTTGTGAAAAAATGTAATAAACTTCTAAACATATAAAATATAATTATGTGTCAATAGAGAATGTATTGTTTATTTTTACATATATAACGATGGTAATACAGAGAATGCTCCAGTACCAGATTTGCATGGTTGTCCTAACATCAGTCTACTTGACGGTGATGATATATCATCCTTTTTTCCTATAAATGAAAAGTAAAATAATATATGCATAAATATATTTTTCTGTATAACCTATTTGGCGATCTTACATCTAATTATAAAATCTATTACCTTGCAATGTCGCACTTTTCAAAAAAGCTAGCGAGCTTTCAAAACTTATTTGCTGTAATGGTGAAGCGGAATTTTCCATTCCTTTCCGACTAAGTGGTTGAAATGTCCCATCAAACGTCATATAATCGGCAATTAAGGCTAGATGCCTAAAATCTACAGTAATACCATACATCTTGAAGACGTCTCTAACTTCTCTCACAATAACTTTATTCGCAGCTTCAATTCCATATGTTTGAGAAATATTGTGAATATCATTGGAGTATAACCTATTTAAATTAAGTATATTATCATACTTGAACATTTCCTGTAATAAAAGAAACATGATATATATATATATATATATATATAAAGATGAGATAGAAGAGTACGATTTCTATTTACAGATAGTTCATGATAAGCACATTTACTTACTACTATATTTAAACCATCTGTTTTGAGAATTGTTTCATTTTCACTATTTTGGAAAGTAAAAGCTTTCTTAATATACGGTGTTTCCCATAAAACAGTTTTTTCTGCAGCATTTCTAATTATTGTCGGCAAATCTAATTTGATCATTTCAAGCGGTAACTGAAAAGAATTAATGTATATATTACTTGTTTATGTAGAGCTCCTATATTATTACAATTTTATATTATTTATAAGTGATAGGTGTTATTATATGGAATTTCAGAAACAGGATGTATCATAATTCATGCCCATAAATTACAAAGTGCTATTTCTGAATAAAAAAGTTGAAAAGTCCGGAATTATTTTTTTGTGATGTTTAACCAAAGAGGAATTATAAAAAAAATGTCACTTTTTATCAGCACCATTCTTTAGGCAGTTTAAATAATATATTTAACTAATATTATAATATTATATTATTATTATAAAATTAATATTATATAAATTTGTTCTTACTATATACTGAAAGAAATTGTTCTTTTTTTCGCATACCATCACTCGTATTCTAGATAATCATGAAATGTATCAAAAACTCTGGTTCATATTTATAAATAACTGTATATCTCTTAATCAATTTAATTGATTATAAGATTATGTGATTCACGGATTAATTATATAATTATAAAATTCGTATTATCTTCAGTAGATTAAACTATTTTTATAAATATTGTTTTACTAAGATACAAAGTATAAAGATTGCAACAACAAATGTTTGCTACAAGCACTTACCCAAAATGTGAATTTGCACCATGATAATTTACTTTCGTCATAATCATAATCGGTAACATGCTTATACATATCTATGATGCATTTTTTTCTGTAAGAATATGTGTCATTTTTCTTGTTATTTAATCTCTCTCTAGTATAGTCATCATTCTCTTCATTATCTTCCTTGTTTTCTGAGTTTTTATTTGCATTATTATTATTATTTGCTTCTTCCTCCTTATCATTTATAACATCTTCCACTTCTTCTTCTTCTTCTTCTGAATCTTCATATTCTTGATTTTCTTGATGACGCGATAATGATCTACTCATTGTCGCATCAGCATCCTCTGCAACTTCTTCCTCATCAGATGATTCATGCATCTCTCCTAAATCCATCTTTATTCTTCTTTCAGTATTTTCCGGCATTGTGCCGTCAGGATCAAGTTGATCTATTATTTCATCCTCGTCGCTTGCCCGTCTTTTTTCTCCTTCGAAATGTAATAAAACTTTGCTTGCTTTGGTGAGTTTTTGGATTTCTTTAAATATATTCATAAAAAAGATTTTTTCAGTGCGCTTAATCACATCCTGTGGGCGAATGGAAAACTCCCCTTTATAAGATTTGTAGGGAAGATATTCGATCGTTATAGTGTGCACTAATTTTCTATGCGAATCCTCTTCCATTCTCCTACTTATCGTGATATCCTTCAATACATCACGCAGGACACATTTTGTTAATTTTAATCTCAGCTTCTTTGCTTGCTTTTCAAGATTTTGCAGATTGTTTTGAAAGGGTATTTCCATACTTGGAGTTTTTATATTTTTCGTCGCCAACATTAAGATCTCACGTAATCTAGGAATACCTAGAGTCACATTCATGTCACCACGTCCAGCAAAATGAAATGTATTCAAGGTCATTTGAGTGGATGGTTCGCCTATAGATTGCGCCGCTAACAAACCAACCGGTTCACCAGGTGGACAAATGGTTTTTATAACTTTGATGGATAACAAATCTCTTAAATTAGATTTTTTAATCTTCGAAGAACGAGAAAGATATTCGTCTATTAAGCCTTCTATTCGTTCTGGTAATACACCGAATTCAACATCTTGCCTGTATTTTGATGTTACTGGATCAGGACATTTAGCATATTGTGCACGAAATGTCTCTTTCACTTCTTCCGTCGCTCTTATCCACTTTCGTATAAGTGATAATGTGGCCTTACTCCTTCCACTATGGCTATCGATGCTTCTTCTTTTCAAACTATTATTTTGATTCTCAATAGAGAATTTAGTAAATTCGCTAATTCTTTTCTTTTGTAAAGAAGAGCCATTTTTATTTTCCCATTTTTTGATCTTTTTCATCATTTTTACAATCTCTTTATTATCTGTTTTTAGATATTCCAATAATTTTGCGTCTATAATAGCGTCTTTATTGTCGACCAGAAATGCGATTTGTTCTTTTCTTAAGAATCGCGAACCTGGTATATCAAGGCCATCCTCTCCATAATAAAATTGAATTAAACTACCATCATAGTCTCTGACTGTCGCATCGTAACCGACAACCAATCCTTCTAGATGTTTCACAAGACATCTCTGTAAGTAACCAGATCTACTAGTTTTTACCGCAGTATCAACAAGACCTTCGCGTCCTGCCATGCAATGGAAAAAACATTCCTGAGATTTAATACCAGTCATAAATCTACTATCGATGAAACCACCGGCTCTAGGTGTCGGATCATACGCTGGGAAACTTAATAAACTTTTCCCACTGATCATTAATGGCGGCCTTTTACCTTCCAATTCGCTTTGGCCAAGCAAACACGATATTTGCATAGTATTAACCATGGATCCTTTTGCACCAGATTGCACCATAAGCTGTAAGTTATTATTTGGAAATTTTTTGAAGAGTCCTATCTGCAGACACGTTTTGTTAATATCGTTAGTGTAAACATCTAACACGCTCTTGTACTTATGATCGACTTGTGCGCGAAATTTCGGATTATCCCAATAAGATTCTTCTATCTTGTTTTTAAGTTCATCCATAAATATATTATCAGGTATTTTTACGACAGATTTTTGTATATCTTCTCCAACTTTCCGACAATTAGAAATTATTTCTTTACGTTTTTTGTCGATTCTACGATTTATCAGAATGTCTTCAACGCCCAGAGTAAATCCATTGTACTGCAGAAACGTTTGGAACAATTTGGCAAATGCGCTTAACATTTTACTCGCGTACGTTTCCCCATATAACTCATAAATACAATGAATAAGACCGTAAGAAGTCGCACCACAGTGCGTTTTATCAAGTACCCCACATAGTAGTTCTCCGTGCCGAATTACAACTTCAGCTTCCGACATAGTCATTGGATTTTTAAATTCTGTTCCATATTTCCAATGTCGTGGTGATTCTACTTGCCATTCTTTTACATTAATTTTTGTATTAGAGATTAGATTAATTCGTGCCTTGTGCGAAGGAATAATATTAATTATAATGGTTGAAATAATTTGTTTACCCGACCATAGAGGTTTTGGTTTGATAATAGTTGGTGGTGAGAGGATTATATCTCCTTGTATCATCGAGAGTGCGGCATAAATTAATTGCGTATAATGAGTTCGCGAGAAAAATCGACCCCTGGTCGTTAATTGTACCCCGGATATCATGTAATCTTGTATAAGACCACTTAACGGAGTTCCGTCTTTTGGTACGAGATATTGATTACTTACATTAGCTATATTATAACTTTCACTTCTAGCTAGTTCGTTTTGTGGAAAATGAGCGTTGAGTTCATCTCCATCGTAATCTGCATTATATGCCTTACAGTTTGCATAATGAAGATGCAATGTTTTTTCTCCTTTGAGAACACGTGCCTTATGAGCCATTATACTCGGTTTATGTAACGTCGGTTGCCTATTTAATAACAATACATCGCCGTTTTGAAGATGTCGATGTACTATTTTAATGCCACTGAAGGATTCGTTAGTTCTGTCGCTTGTGGTTAAAAGACGTTTTGCAATAGCTTCTCTTTGCATAGAATCGTTACTACTAATGGCTTGTATTGATCCATCTTCATTTTCTATTATAACCGCCCCAGGATGAACATCGGGTCCGTTTAAAACTAATCGTCGCAATTCAACGACGTTCCATGGTGTCACTCGATATTCAAGTCAGGACCTGGAGTGATGACCGAACGCGCGGCAAAATTCACTCTTTTACCCATCATGTGCATTCTAATAATACCTTCTTTTTTCTCGAGAATTTGTTTCAAGCCTAGACCATTGATAGATTCCGGAGTCCTATTTATGTCACGATCCATCAGATGATCAACATTGCTTTGCAATGTTTGCCAGGCATTGTGTAATTTTTCGACCGCTGTATGTCCTTTTATTTGTTCAAAGACAAGTCGACCCTCCTGAGGTAAGTGATCGGTACCTCCATCTTGAATCGTTTGTATAATATTTCTTAAGACCAAACAATCCTGTATAATACTTTTATAGATATGAGTTTGAGGATGTTCGATCATTTGGCCATTAATAAAATTTACTGGTCGCACAATGGGTGGTAGCACAGGTACTACTTCGAAAAAGAATATATCAGTTGGATATTCAATATCAACTAATTCTAAGCAGGGTATAATTATCTGAAGAAAATTCCTTTCATTATTCCATAATCGTCGCATGTATTCCTTAGACTGATCTGGCATAATCATCACTGTATCCAGTTTATGAATCACTTCATGCGACAATATTTCCTTAGGGGCTCCTTTATTGCTTATCATTATTTTATTTTGCAATGTTGTAATTTTCGGTAGAACATTGTTACAATTAATGCATATTCCAGCTTTGTTCCTGACATATTGTTTAAGTATATATTCAACATAGGTATGCCACTGTGTATTAACATTCTTTATGTTGCTTTTATACTCATGATTCTCAGTCACAGGCTGACCAAATCTGGTTCTATTGGAAAAGTTTTGCATGTAAATATCGATTACATCACAAATATACTCCGTTTGTTCTTCTATTTTTTGAACATTCGATTTTACATAATTTATTTCTTGATCTAAAGTTTCAAGATCAGCAAGTTGTCCTTGATAAAGCAACTTTAATCTTGCAGACAATAACGTCTTCATATATGATGGTAATTGAAAAGTAAAACAACTGAAGCACGACAATTTGAACAATGTGGATAATCCTTTGTGAAATAATGGATTGACAACAGATACTGGCAATTCTATGTGTCCAAAGTGACCTGGACACTTGGAGCTATTATATCCACACGTGCTACATAGTTCGAAATTATTCTTTGTTGTGCCTATAATAAATTGAATATATTATATAAATTATATAGCAAAATATAATACATACATAGCTTTTTTTTATATTTTATGTATCTGAGTTATTATCTTGAATTAAATATATATGTTTATATATATTTAATTTAATGATATTAAAACTATACATGCATCTAATGGAGACAAATCTTTGAAAAAGTATGGTAAATTATCATATCATTATTAAGAGAAATTATATCACTGTTAATATATTACAGTGCCCTAATTTTCAAAATAACAATTTCAATTCGTAATTCTAATTTTCTAAATATCTAAATCATATATTTTAAGAATCCTGTAATTATCTTGAAGTATAACAATTGAGACAGAATGTATATTATATGTATGAATTTTTCTTGCAAAATACATAAAAAATAATTTTCTATCACTATTTGTGTGTTGGATAATTTAAATCAGTACAATATAAATAAAATTCAATATAATTACAGTGAAAAAAAGAAAACAGAAATCTTAACCATAAAATTATATTATGATTACACACACATTGAAATTAATATTTAAATAAATATTAAGATCAACTAACAGAAAATATACGATCTTTCTATTCTCTTGGAAGTTTAAGTTGTTCATTTTTACTTAAAATCTAAAGTGTAGTTCTTGAAAAATTGGGCAAATCATAATTAGAACTGTTACAAAATGTTGCTATAAAAAAATCAAGAAATAGAAAAATATTATATAAACAAAAATATTTAATAGAATTATATAAAATCTTTTATATCATTTTTTTTATAACAAAATATATTAGAATGAAACAGTTTACCTAAGGATGGATCATATAATCCACCCTTTAGTGGATGTCCAAGAATGTTAAAAGATAGAGGTGTCCTGATTTTCGTTACACTTAAATTCCTTATATCGTTTGCTGTGAACACTGAGAATAATAAATGCTGGGAGTCTTGATGTTTTGGTGTTAGACGTTGCTTATAATATTTCCTCATTATTTTAATATTTGGCTTTCATAAATCTGCAACAATAATATTGAATAACAACAAATTTTTGATAAAAAAGTAAAAATAAGAAAACTAAAATTGTCGCGTTCTAAAGTATAAATCAAAACATTTAATAAAAAACATTTTTGTAACTTACAATTAAAGAATATCACTATATTTTGATTCAATATAAAAGAATCCAACAAAAAAATAATGGTAGCTTTTATTATTGAATGTAGAATTTATTTTATATTTAATTTTATGCGTAAAATAGAATGCACTAAAGTGTGAGTAAAAGTGTGTGTAAATGCGAAAAGCCTAACCTAACCTATATAATCTAAGAAGTTATTGCACATACATTTTAAAACAAAGATTAAAAAATATAAAATAATAATATTAAATTAAAAGATATAATAAATAAATAAAATAATAATGATATAGTTTGTTAATTGTATGAATTGCATATTTAAAAAGGAAAACTTACTTTTACACGACACTTAACGTTTGCTCACCTAATTTGTTAACCGACGGCCACTTTGAATAGATTCGGAAAGCATGCTTTTAGCACAGTATATACATGATTATACATGCAATAGCGCAATTCTCCTGATTTTGTGTTGGCCAAAACCTTAAGGTGCGAACCCATGCAGCAGAATAGCGTAAAGCCCGTATCAGACTACGCATTGAAGATTGAGATTGAAGATTGAAGATTGAAGATTGAAGATTGAAGATTGAAGATTGAAGATTGAAGATTGAAGATTGAAGATTGAAGATTGAAGATTGAAGATTGAAGATTGAAGATTGAAGATTGAAGATTGAAGATTGAAGATTGAAGATTGAAATTTGAACAATCAGGAAAAAGAAATTTTAGATTCTTTTGTTCTGATTAGTCAAATTCCAATCTTTAATCTTCAATCTGAATCTTCAATGCGTAGTCTGATACGGGCTTAACGCGGAACGACAGCGAAACCAATCACGAGTGTTCCGCAGTTTTTGCAACGTGGATTCCAAGTCCTTACATCCCACATCTTCATGGAGCGTAAAGCCCGTATCAGACTACGCATTGAAAATTGAAGATTGAAGATTAAAGATTGGAATTTGACTAATCAGAACAAAAGGGACTAAAATTTCTTTGTCCTGATTGGTCAAATTTCAATCTCGAATCTTGAATCTCAATCTTCAATGCGTAGTCTGATACGGGCTTAATGAGCACACCGCGGACTAATGCGCAACCAATTACGAGTCAATGGTCTAATTTCCACCGAAGTATTAATTCGCATCTAGTGCGGCGTAGGACTAAATTTAAGTCGATGGAAATACGACTGACTGCGTTCATTTCACTCTCACTCCGATCTACAAGCTTTATTGGAGTGGCAGCGAATTGACACGAAATCTAGACGGTAGAAACGCTTGAAAGTAGATGGTGCTAACCTTTACTTTTTATTATTTCGTAACCATCAATATATAGTCGATATATAGCCTATATGTTGATGTTCGTAACAATTACCATTCGTTCGTATTAATTACCAAAATGGAAAATAAACAAGAAATTTGTCAAGAATTATGTTTATTTACATTCACAAGCAAAAGTTAAATTGGCTCTACTAAAATATCAATCTTCCTCGCTTCTATTCTACTTCCAGTGGAAACAGTACGTTAAATTCGATGCGCACCGAAACAGAATCGAATTGACGACTTCGGTGGAAACTAGACCATTGACTACGTTTACACGTCACCCCTAATCGGATTTAATAACATCCGTAGTTCCAAGGCTGGCCAATCACAGTCATTCCATTCTTCAGAGGAATAGCCGTGATTGGCCAGTTTTACAACTACGGATGATATTAAACCTGATTAAGGGTGCCGTGTAACAGAGCTCATTGGCTGCGTTCAGCAGAAAAAGCAGCAAAAAACTAACGGAAATTGTAATGACTCATTATTTTTTGAGTAACGGTAACGGTAACGAGTTACTTTTTAAAATTGGTAACAAGTAACGGCAACGAGTTACTTTTTAGAAAAAAGGACGGTAACGGTAACGAGTTACTTTTTAAAATTGGTAACGAGTAACGGTAACGAGTTACTTTTTAGAAAAAAGAACGGTAACGGTAACGAGTTACTTTTATAAAGTAATTTTCCCAACTCTGGTTTTAACTCTTTTGAAATATTGGCTGCGTTCAGCAGAAAAAGCAGCTTTGCAACTGTTGTAAAATTTTTTAATATGATTGGTTTATACATTTAGATCCGGCAGGAACTAAGAGCAAGAACCAATCATATTAAAGAATTTTACAACAGTTGCAAAGCTGCTTTTTCAGCTGAACGCAGCCAATATTTCAAAAGAGTTAAAACCAGGGTTGGGAAAGTTACTTTATAAAAGTAACTCGTTACCGTTACCGTTCTTTTTTCTAAAAAGTAACTCGTTACCGTTACTCGTTACCAATTTTAAAAAGTAACTCGTTACCGTTACCGTTACTCAAAAAATAACGAGTCATTACAATTTCCGCGTTAGTTTTTTTTATATATAACAATAACTTCACATACATTTTTTTAAATACAAGATCAAATTAAACACTAAAAATTTTTAAACATTGTCTTACAAAGAAACAAGATACCAAAATGAGTTTTTAGTAGTTTTTATGTAATGCTGCATTCCAACACTCTTATCAATATTTTCCTTTGTATGAAAATTATACCGAGTAAATTCTAGAAAAGTAACGATAAAAGTAACTGTTAAATTTGTTACTCGTTACCAAAAAATGTAACGAAGTTACTTTTTCCGTTACAAACAAAATTTGTAACGCCGTTACCGTTACAGTTATCGAAAAAAAGTAACTGTAACGGTGTTACTTCCCAACCCCCCGTATGGGGTTGCTAGTCCCCCATCGGGCGCCTCCCTAGGTGGCGGATTGGGGAATGCTCGCTGGCAACTGCAGGAGGGTACCGGGAAAATAAAATACCCGGGGTGGACCAAAATTAGCAAAAAGAAAGAAAACTAAGCAATGGACAAAATAATTTCAGGATCGATTACCTCAGGTGGTAGACCAGGCACCAATCTGGAAAATCTACTATCACCAGATTTCCTACAATAGATCAACAAACTCATACAAATCACAATCCTCTAGGAGCAGCATCAAACGAAGTAGATAACATAGACAAAGAAATCCCCTGGAGGATAGTACAAGACGAGAGAAAGAGAATGCCAGGAAGCCTTGAAACATCTTCAAGGCATGTACAAAAGCAGTCTAAACTTAATACTTACTGGCTAGGCAAACCAGTGTCGACATCAAGCAGTTTCTCCCTTTTCGACAATAATGAAAAACCAGATGCAAACCCTGAACCTAAGGATAGACCAAAGAAACCTCCACCAATCTTTGTAGATGGGGTCAGTAATATACAGCCACTCATCTCGCTATTAAATGAACATGCAAACGGACACTATGAAATTAAAATCCTTTGTAACGAACAAATCAAAGTGAACCCGAAATCTTCCGAAGCGTATTCAAAAATTGTGAAGCAACTAGAGATTAAACAAACTGAGTTCTACACTTACAAGCAGAAACAGGACAGGGGCTTTAAGGTCGTATTGAAAAATATGCACCCCTATACAGACACAAATGAAATCAAAATGACACTATCTGATCTAGGTCATAACGTCACAAACATATGGAATATTAAACAAAGAGGGTCCAAGAAGCCACTACCTATGTTCATTGTGGAACTAAAACAAAATGAAAATAACAAACTTATATACGAAATAAAGACCTTACTGCACTGTCGAATAACATTTGAACCACCAAGACCAAAACGTGAAATACCGCAATGCGCAAAATGTCAACAATACCGCATTTTCGGTGCAGAAATCCCGATCGATTCGGATTACATTTTTTAAAATCCGTTTTAATCGACCATTTTCGGCAGGGTACGGTCATACCAAAGCGTATTGCAGACGCAGTCCTAAATGCATCAAATGTGCTGGTAATCATCTTTCCGCTGACTGCACACGGAAGTATAGATCAGAAGACGTTAAATGCGTGCTCTGCGAGGGTAATCATCCAGCAAACTACAAAGGCTGTAGAGTCTACAAAGAGCTTCAAATGGTTAGGTTTCCTTCTACTAGGAAAAAAGTTCTCCCTTCCAAAGAACCTACAAATAAAATATCCACAGATACAGTCACTAACACAAACCCAACAACGCTAAGCAAACCTACGTATGCCCAAGCCCCAAAAAACAATATGAATCAACTATCACAAGACCACACTAACTTATCTAATTCCAAAGAAATAAATGATACGTGTAAGATAAAAGATATACTCAAACAAATCATGCAACAATTGGCTACAGTGACAAATCTTTTGTCAAACCTAATGATTAAGCTGTCAAATTCGACTCCTTAAAAATTGCAATATGGAACGCCAATGGGCTGTCACAACACACCCTTGAGGTAAAAACTTTTTTGGAAACACACCAAGTCGACATACTACTGATCTCAGAAACACACTTTACAAGGAAAAACTATTTCAGTATGCCCAAATATAAATTCTATCACAATATGCATCCCGACAATACTGCGCATGGCGGAAGTGCAATATTAATAAGAAACAATATCAGACATTATGAAGAGGAGTCATATTGTGAGGAGGAGAGTCAGGCAACGAATGTAGTCTTGGATTGGGAGGGTCTTATAGTAATCTCAGCAGTCTATAGTCCTCCTAAACACAACATAATTAAAGAAAAATACATGAAATTTTTCTCTTCACTGAGTCATAGGTTTTAAACCGGTGATGATTATAACTCAAAACATACATATTGGGGGTCAAGAACTACAAATCCCAAAAGCCGACAACTGCTATTAGCCATCGAAGCATTACATCTCGGAGTTACCTCATCCGGAGAACCAACATACTGGCCCACCGATAGAAAGAGACTATCGGACTTGATCGACTTCTGTGTATTCAAAGGAATCTTTAGTGCACATATAGTATGTAAATCTTGCCTTGAGCTATCATCAGATCACTCACCCATTATTTTAACACTAAGCAGGAAAATCTAGCAAGTAACAAAAATCTGCAGGCTACATAACCACAAAAGCAATTATGGATGCAACAACAGCAACAGACTATTCACTTTGGAAGGCCACAAAAAAGCTAAAGCGACCCATTTCTCATCACCCCCCGATACGTAAACTTGATAATGTTTCGGCAAAAAGCGATAAAGACAAGGCAGAAGCTTTTGCTAATTAATTGGGAGGGGTGTTTGAACGAAACCCAGACCTTGGATCTCAAAAAAATCAAGAGATATGCGACTTGCTAGGCCAAGTACATCAATTAGACCCCCCTATTAAAAAATTCTCTAAAAACGAAGTTTATTCTATCATACAAAAACTGGATCATCGCAAGGCACCAGGCTATGATCTTATCGCTGCACTAACTCTCAAGAAGTTACCTGCTGCTGGCATCACCTTTCTTACGCAGCTGTTCAACGCCATACTCTGGAGATGCTTTTTTCCACCACAATGGAAGATAGCCCAAATTATAATGATACTCAAACCAGGTAAGAACGCTGAGGATGTTAAGTCCTATCGACCAATTAGTCTTTTGCCAATCCTCTCTAAGGTCATGGAAATACTGTTTCTCAAAAG